AATAACTCGCTTTGAAAAAGAAGAACACACTATTGCTGCTTTATGTGATCTAACAAAAGTATTCGATTGCATCTCCCATTCTATTCTACTGAAAAATATTAAATGACTATGGCATAAGAGGAACCCCCCTGTCTCTTTTTTCTTCATATCTGACAAACAGATACCAATAATTGTATCAATTGACTCGAACAATGTATCCGACTTAAAACCAGTTATATGTGGAGTTCCCCAATGCTCGGTTCTGGGGCCTCTTTTATTCATAATCTATATAAATAATCTCTTTTCCTTCATGTCACCTCATAATTGTTTTGCTTTCGCCGATGATACTACTCTCACGACATCCGGAAAAATCAAGGGTAATATGAATCAAGGGTAATATGGTGCGCGATATAAATCAAATTCAAATTCAAATTTAATGTTAAACGAAAATAAAACTCAACAAATAATTTTTACATCAAACTTTTCTTGGGTTGAAGGACACAGTGTTAAACTCTTAGGCATACATTTAGATGTTATTCTTCAATAACCCTTTAGCTGCAACTGTAGCAATCACTTCACTAGACCGACCCCTGATCGGCCGCTTGTAGTTAATCCCTTGGGTATGACACCAATTTGATTCTGGGCTCCAGATAAGATAAGAAAAGATAAGATAAGATAAGAAAAGATGAAATATCTTATTATTATCATTTTCATGGAATATAAAATATATTTTGTTCAAACGTTTTAAGACATCAATGCAATGAGTTTTTCTAAACAGTTGTGCATAATGTTTATGGTGTATCAAAGTTAGGTTTTCAATCAAATAGTGGACGTTGTTTTCCATATTCAGATTTCGTCAGAAAAGTACTTCAAAAAACCAAAACTGTATAGGTATGTACCGAACGGTTCAGAAATTATACTAAAATTAATGTCAGGAAGCTGATCTATTCAATCGTCCCCATTTTCAATACAAACTGAATTCAACATTCTTTTTTGTGATGTGTTCATTTCAAAAATTAATGTTTCCCCATTATATAATAATATTTTGACCGAATTTTATTTTCTGGTACTGAGAAAATCAAAACTAAAAAAGCAATGAAATAAAACTATCAGACACCTGTGCAACATCTGCGTCTGGAACACAAGAAACGTCCTATTAGATGGGCTGAAACAGTTCGTACGTTAGCACACATATAGCTCTACTAGTATTACATCCATATTATTTTTAGTCAACCCTACCCTTCAAAAGGCACTGTCGGACCATTAGTTCGTGGGAAAAAACATTTCGAGTGAAGCAACTTTCGTTATTTTGAAAAAAATGGATAAAAAGGAATTTCGTGTTTTATTAAAGCATTGCTTTTTGGCGAAAAACAAAATACTGTTGAAGTCAAGAATTGGCTTGATGAAAATTATTCGGATTTCGCACCAAGAAAATCATCCGTCGAGAAGTCATTTGCTACGCTGACTAGGCTGTTACCGATGAAAACATAAAAAAAGTCCAGAAAATGATTTTTGATAGATGAGGCTATAAAGATATCAAAGAAATGTGTTGGACATATTGTGCATGAATATTTGGCTATGAGAAAACTTCAAAAGGAGTGCCACGCGAGCTCACAAACAACGAAAAACAACAACGAATTGATTACTCTGTGCTGTTTCACCATAAAATACCTGAATTTATGCGTCGATGGATGAAATATGGCTTCATCATTCCACACCAGAATAAAAAAATCGTCATCTGAGTGGACTGCACGTGGTGAACCGACTCCAAAGAGTGCAAAGATGCAACAGTCGGTTGACAAGGTTATGGTATTAGTATTTTGGAATACGCATGGTATAATATTCATCGATCTTGAAAAGGGAAAAACCATCAACAGCGACAATTACATAGCGTTATTGGTGAATTTGAAGTACTAAATTGCGGTAAAAAGGCCTCATTTAGAAAAAAATAAAGCGCTGTTTCATCAAGACAATGTACCGTGTCACTAATCAATGAAAATGATGGCAAAATTCCATGGATTAGGTTTTGAATTGGTTTCGCATCCACTGACCCCAGCGACTTTTTCCCGTTCTCATGTCTCGGATGCAGAGGTGGAAAGTCATCTTGGTTTTGGTCAGGTTGGAGCATGGCTCCCTTACCCTTTCAATTGGTGTTTGTCAGAAGGACAAATGGGTCATAACTGATGGTGGGATGGCGACATGAATGTGCTCAGAAATCTGCCGCCCTTCACGGTGTACACCTACCTGGCTGGGGTGAAATGGATGAAGATATTATTCATCTGTTAACGGAGGACATGGGGGCCTCATTCGACAGAGTGTCGGGCCTTCTATATCGGATGGGGTCATCTACAGCATGATATATAGCTTCCCTAATAACGGATTATCGTGAGTTTCTGCACAATCAAAAACTCGCTGATTCCTCGACTGAATGGACTGCCGAATGGAAGGCAGCTGCAAATCTCTGCGGATGGCTTCATTCTGCACGAACCACGGAGCATTCACTATCATCAGTATTGTCTTGTTTTGCAATTTCGACAGAATTGAGATATTACACGGAGCCGCTTGTCCCCAGACGCCTGAAGCATACGTGATGACAGGTTTAAACATCGTATTGTAGATGGTAATTTTGTTTTTTCGGCTCATTTTAGATCTTCTGTTAATCAGAGGGTACAGAGGATCTATCCGGCCCTCGATCCTTGTTTTAACGGATATAATGTGCGGGTTCCAGGTGAGCCTACGGTTTATTAGAAGGACGAGGTACTTTACCCGCGCTTGCCAGTTGATCTTCCTTCCAGAGACCCTCACTTTCCTAGCCGGAGAAGATATCGTTCTTCCCATGGCTATCACCGGAATCTTTTCCGGGTTCACTCGGATCTTCCACTCGAGGTACCAGCGCTCGAGGTCATCCAATGCACGTTGCATGTAGACGTTTCCGAGCTCCCGACCCATGAAAGATGAAAGGAGAGCCGCTGGTGTAGAGCGAGTATAACGTGTGAGAGAGCACATCTCCCTGTGGCATTCTAGCGAGGATCTCTCTATTGTCAGACAGGGAGTCCTCTATTCTGACCTGAAATGTTGTCTTTCACTGAAGACCCGATCCACCGAATCAGTCCCCGAGGCAGGTCGAACGCGTCTAATTTGTGTAGCAGGCCTTCGTGCCAAACATAGTCGAAAGCCTTCGAGATGTCTAAAAAGACAACGTGAACTTTGCGGTTGTTGTTTACTTCTTGAATGGTGTTTTCGACCAGTCTCATAGCCTGTAACTCGGTGGAGTGGTCTCTCTTGAATCCAAATTGTTCGTTAGGCAGCACATTCCGGTCCTCAACTTCTTCGTTGAGCCTTTGCAGAACGACTCTTTCAGCCAGCTTAGCCGCCGACGAAAGCAAACTGATCAGGCGATAGTTCAGTAGGAAAAGCGCGTTCCGATCCTGTTTCGGGAGCATGACGACGATCGCATGCTTCCACCTTCTGGAGAAGTATCTGAGGGTCAACGAACTGTCGGATGCAGATGTAATCAAAACTGAGGCCTATTTTGAGGCTAAAGTCAAATCGTACTATAAAAATGGTATAGAAAAATTGTACGACCGCTATAATCATTGTATCGCCCTCGAAGCCAACTATACTATATAAATTTACCTTTTCGATGTTTCGATTCATAGTGTCGTTTAATGTTATAGAGAACAGCTATGGTTTCATTACAAATTAAACATAGAACTTGAAAAATAGTATATTACGCACCTTGAGAGAGGTCACGCACTTTGCGACTATCCTAGTCTAGAAATATAGTTAAGGGCAGAAATTGGCCCTTGGAACAAACTGAAAAAAATCATTATGGCCTGAAGGCTTCAAAGTGTGGAAACCCCTGGTCTAAACGAAGTCAAACCGAACAGCTAAATAAAAGACTAACGTTAATAACATACAAAACATGCCACATGAAAATAATGATTAGAACTAGTAAATTATATCACGCCGCCTATGCCATACAAAAAAACTGCCGTTCGAATTGACTTCGAATGTAATATACTCATACAACTCCAGTTGAAAATGAAATATATAGTGCTTCATTGGAAAATATAAAAAAATATCAGATTTTGATTCATCCCCTATCAGACAAAAAGGTTTTGGTCGATGTATTATTCGATAATTAAAAATCTATATTTTTAGAATATCACCATAACGAAACAGTTTTTCGAATGAGTTTCCTTTGAGAAAATGAGGATACTTGAATAGATCAGCTTTTTGACATTAGCTTTCTTTTGTCTGTCTACACTATCTATTTTATTATTATTTTGTTCATTTTTCTGCTAAATTGTATATTTGAAGGTAAGGAATCGTTTGTTCTGAGGGTTGGTATTCATATGGAGAAAACAGCTGGGTAATATAAATAAATTACCAGTTCATTTTCTTCGCCAAGTCATTGGAATAATTCAATTTTGTATTCCACTGGATAGAAACTTGATGAAATGAAACCTGGAATTAAAAATCGCAAATCGATTTGGCAACAATGCATTAACTTGTAGCTTAACATTGTAATGTCAACATAACTGATAAAACTAAAATTATCATTCAGCCCTTAAATTAAGTGTATTTACTGAACAGTATGCAATTGATGAAGAAAATGAATCAAATATTCTATATGGAATTCCTATCGAGAAAAGAAGGTGACATTTTGAATTTCGAAAAAATTTGCCTTCTGAAAACATAGATTTTTCTATATTATCAACTTTTGAATAATTGACTGTAACGTACGGAAATAAGTATATGGAGGAAAAATTCATAAATTTTGCCCCAACCCGACTGTCAAATATAGTGCCCTGTATTTCCTTTTTTTGTCCATCCTAACATTTAGTTACGCAAATTTTAACTCTTACATCTTACATAATGAAATATATAACTCTCCACCTACTTCCAAAAATAAATTAATGTCAACCTCAATGTGAATTTCCTAATTAGAGAAACATTCCGTATCATCCAAACAACGCTTATGTCTTAGCATTCAAGAAGGCTATGGGTTCATAAGTATAGGACATTTTGACGTTTATCGTGAGAAGTCAAATTAAACTGAAGTGGACCGATAAGTATCCATTGATTGGGTTCAAAAGTTGAATTATCAGTAGAAATGTGGCAAAGTAAAATAAGAAACCTCCCATTGTACAGTTCACGGCGAATTTTGCAGCAGAAGCATTATGCTAAATCAATGAAATCCACCTCAGCAACTGTTATAGATCAACAAACAGACGCCGAAAAGCTGAAATCAACAACCACCCCTAACCTTATCTCCGATTCGATAAAAACGGGCCCGTACCTTGCCAAAAACCCAAAGGCGACTCTTGTGAATGCCGAAGAACAACAAACTATATCTTTTGACGATATTCCTGGTCCAATAAGCTTGCGTTTTATATCCAAATTCTGGTCGATGGTGCCCGTAATGGAAACAGAAATTATCATCAGACTGGCTCAATATTTTCTCAGTGGAGGCAAATTTTTCCGTGGCATCCTCTCATGGGGAGGTAACATGTCATTTTTCAAGAAGTTTTTTAACGAATATGGTCCTGTTGTCAGAATTCATGGAGCCTTCGGTAGTGACGTTGTTCTTTTAAGCAGACCGGAGCACGCATGTGCCATTTTTCGAAGTGAAGGTCAGTACCCTATCAGATCATGTTTAGATTCCGTAGAGAAATACCGATTGGAGTGCAGAAAATACCGCCAAGCAGGACCTTTCCTGTCGCATGGACCTGATTGGGAAAAAGTCCGCAAATCTTTAGAACAGCCAATGCAATCTACTCTAACCGATCAGTACGACAAACTGCAGAACATCTGCGATGAACTTGTAGACAGAATAATGGCTATTCGAAACAAACAAGAGGAAATGCCGAATAACTTTGATGTCGAAATTTATAAATGGTCTCTGGAGTGCCTCTCAGCTGTCACACTGAACAAAAAATTGGGATTTCTGGATCCTTGTGGAGTCAGTCCGACGTCAGACCCAGGAAAACTACTTGAAGGGCTTTTTGGGGCAACGGATGCTATCCGGAAATGCGAATACGCTTTTCATTTCTGGAAGTTTTTCAACACCCCTGCATGGAAATCGCTAGTGGCAAATTGTGACATGGTAGACAGCGTTTTGAACAAGTACGTAGAAAAAGCAATGAACACTCTCAAAGAAGGAAAAGCCTCTAACATTCCTCTTGAGAGAGTCAGCTTACTCGAAAGTTTACTCCTGAAGGAAGGTATCGTGGAGGAAGATGTTATGACTGTTATGCTAGATATGTTTCTTATTGGCGCAAATGCGACAGCTCACACTGTGGCTTTCTTATTGTACCACCTTGCAAGGAATCCCCGCTGTCAAATCAGGTTGTACGAAGAGCTGAAGAAATATAACAACAATGTTACAAAGAGCGAATTGATGAGTATCAAGTATCTGCAAGCCTGTGTGAAAGAATGTCTAAGGCTCGATCCCCCTATGCCGATTTTGAGTCGTGTTTTGAATAACGATGTTGTTATTCACCATTATCGCATTCCAAAAGGTACCAACATACTTTTCGCCACTCATTTGAATAATATGGGAGACGATTACTTTGAAGATGCTACTAGATTTAAGCCTGAAAGATGGCTCACTGATGAACTTGGCGGCTTTGGAAATGAATATCAGGCGTTTGCTTCCATGCCGTTCGGACATGGCCCCAGAGCTTGTTTGGCGAAAGACTTAGCCGAAACGGAGATCGCCATGGTTCTGTTCAAGATCTGCAAGAAATTCAGAATCGAATACAATTATGGAGATATCAAGAGTTCTAATGCATTTTTGGCTTCACCTACTAAACCTCTTAAGTTCAGATTCATCAATCGCATCTGAGTTCTTTCTTTATCGTTCTGAAATGTATGTTTATTTATGACATGAATATAATTTTCACTAATATAAGTTTGTTCTGCTAATAAATGACGGAAGTGGATTTGCCATTTCAATATCATATTTCGATAATTTTCAAATAACATGATTCTAGGCTGGTACAGATACTTCGATGGCAAAAAATAAGCATTACTAAATTTGACCTCTTTTACAGGGCAAAATGTTCTGCAAGGAAGTTGTTGATGATAGAATAAAAACTTTTATGCAAAATACTTTTCAAAATAAAATCAGCTTCTGTCTTCAAACTTGAAAAATAGTATATTACGCACCTTGAGAGAAACGTACTGCATTCTCACCAGCGAAATATTGTAAAAATCGCGGACGAGGATGCCGTACTTTTCACCCGTGGTGCGTCAACGACTTTTTCTCACTGTGGGATGAAAAGTGCGATCCTTTCGATCCTAGGTTACCGAGAGAGAGAGAACGGAAGAGAACGAGGCACATTCGTCCTGCATACAGGAGACGAAAAGCGAACTTTTCATCCCGCTGCTCATTTGCAGTTTTTTTGTTGTTTCGTTTCATTTTGAATCTTTTTTGTCAGATGTCAAAGAAGTTTCGAAATGTAAAATATGTCGAGATGTTATCAAATGACTTCTGAAACATTCGACAAAGTACAAGGTGTTCTCTGATATTAGTTTGATGCATTTCGCTACTATCCATAGTTATTGAAATATTTCAAAAATTAAGAAAAAAAATTGACGTTTGGTTTGTTAGGTTATGACAGTTGTTAGATTAGGTCAGGTTAGGTCAGGTTAGTTTAGGTTGACGACGTTCGGTTTGTTAGTTTCACAACCGTGATAGAAATCACACGTTAAAAGGTGAGACTTCGTTAATCCTTAGCTCGCACAAGTTTCGATTTTTTAGAGTTGTCGTTCGTAGAGGTGCGACAGCTGGTTAACGGAAAAACAGATTTCAAACAGAAACAGAATCAGACTGCAGAATCAGTGCTCTGCAGATAAACAAAATATCTCACTAGAGAAGCGATTTGTTCAGTGTTGCCAGGTAAACTGTTTCGACTCTTAATTTACTGATCTAATATTTGGGAGTTGAAATCTATTGATGGCTCAGTTTACTTTCTATGATATATTAAAAAATTAATAGTGGAAATTACTAAGTATTTATGTATAAAATATTTTCGACTGTTTTCCGAAAGAAAATATACCTACTGCTAAGCATAAAAATGTTCTGCCAACATTGGCCGTGATAGTATAGATCGACTTCGTGCTTCATAATGTAAAAACGGTAATATAACTCAACACAACATTTGTTACTTCTGAGGCAGGACTAAGTTTGGTAGGCAGTTGTTTTTTTTTAATTTCAGTAAATTCAGTTTTCATTCATTCAAAACAATAAATCACGATTTGTGAATGAAAAATCAAGTGTAGCCAAAAATTTCATTCTGTAATGAATAGCTTTCTTCCTTGCTTTGGAAGATTCCCACATTTTTTGTATGAAAATGAAGAAGTGGAAACCCAAAATTTTTTTTTTCCAAATACTCAACGTTACTCTATTCAGAAATTACCTCATCAAAAGATAATAATATTTACTGTAATAGGCTTGTTTCATGCTATTGAAAATGATACTGGTTTGATTATAGACTGATCGAGTTAGAGGTACAATACCTTTTTATATTTGCAGAGAAAAGAAAAATTCGAGAAGCAAGAGTTCAAATTGGCCGCCTGTCGTTTGTCCAATAAAATTACGAATAGTCTAGGATCTTGCTGCAGAATCACTACGTCCATAGCGTAGTTAACTAAACTCAGATTTTAACATACATTTGTGAATAGGAGAATACATTTACGACAGGGTGCCAGTCAAAATGTGGCCACAAATATTTTTAATTAAAAAAAGCGAGTGTGCTTCGAACCAAGGGGCTGAAGTAAAACTTCTTCAGCTGCATCTATATGTATGTATGTACTTACAATGACTATATCGGGGAGACCAAATAAAGTATAAGAAATCTATAAAAGCTTCAGAACCATTTCTCAAGCTGCATTCGATCCTTCCAAGTGATGGAGTGTTTCGTAGAGGGATTGACCCGGCTCTTACTCCATGAAGTATTTTAGTAACTTGATTTTTTCAAATAAAAATATTGGCAGGCACTTTTTGACTGGCAACCTGTCATACATGTATTTCCCTATTCATAAATGTATGTAAAAATTTGAGTTTAATTAACTACGCTATGAACGTGGTGATTTTACAGCGGGATCCTGTACTAGAAGTTATGAAACATTAGAAAGAGTACATTGTCTCATACATTCACGAGAGATAGCTGACGTTGAATATATAACGTTGAATTTCTTATTTTTGGTGGGTGGCATGAATGCATAATTAATTTATGTTATTAGGGTTCATGAGCCTTCGACAACCATTTAAAAATATAGATCGTCAAATTAATTTTAGAACCATGGTTTTCGAGTACATTTTATTTCATATGGAGAATGTTTTCATGAATTTGAACGTTAACGCGTTCATATACACTTCCATTGTTAAAATTTCTGTGATATCAACATGAAAATGTCTACTGCCGGAGTTATTTCAAAAATAACGTTTTTTATTGCGTTTTGTGTTATTTGGATTCCATTTATGATTGATTCTCCTTACACTTTCTTCTCATATTTAGTTGTCAGAAGTGAGTGTGATTTTACTTTGAATAACGAATAAATCAGAAACTGTTTATACGCTCTGTGAATTTTACAAGTTGGCAATGTTCATTATTTGTATTGTACCTATTGGTCAATCCAACAAGAAGCGGGACTAGGCCCCACGGAAAAACAACGCTATTTAGAGAGCTGACACAAATTTCAAATGAAATTACTACCAAATGAACTGTAAACCAAAAATCATGAAACAAGCCCTAAATGAATTGATCAATGTAGTGATATAAATCCATTGTTTTATATTATCACATTGAAATTGTTTGACTTATTCATGTGAGTGATCAAGTGATTTTTTTTTAATTATGAATAACTCGAAAACTGTTCATTATCAAGAAATCATGCTGATTCAGCATCAACATTCGTGAACATTGATGTCACATTGGTCGGTCGGTAGCCAAGCGGTTCGGCGGGGGTGCTTTGTTCACTCACTCGAATTGACTGCCGTGTTGGTCGATAGTTCAAGCCCTAGTCTGAACGATCGATCTTCACTTGCTATCGTCCAACACGTGTTAGTAATCACACATTAAAAGGTGAGACCTCGTTAATCCTTAGCTCGCACAAGTTTCGACTTCTGAGGGTTGTCGTTCATAGGAGTTCGACAGCTGGTTAATGGAAAAACAGATTTTAAACAGATTTTTTTTAAACAGAAATCAATTATTTTTACGTGAGAAAAAAAACTGATGTTCACAATTTTCTCTCAAAANTTAGCGCTACCTACTCGCCAGAAGTTAAACTTTTTGTCGCACTTTGAATTGATTTAAAGATACCTACAAGCATCCTCACGAACTGATTTCTTCGAAATTATATATACACAGGGAAAACAGAAAGTAGCATCTACGAATGCTACAAACTGACTCCAAAGAGTGCAAAGTCGCAACAGTCGGTTGGCAAGGTTATGGTATTAGTATTTTGGAATACGCATGGTATAATATTCATCGATCTTGAAAAGGGAAAAGCCATCAACAGCGACAATTACATAGCGTTATTGGTGAATTTGAAGTACTAAATTGCGGTAAAAAGGCCTCATTTAGAAAAAAATAAAGCGCCGTTCCATCAAGACAATGTAGCGTGTCACTAATCAATGAAAACGATGGCAAAATTCCATGGATTAGGTTTTGAATTGGTTTCGCATCCACTGACCCCAGCGACTTTTTCCCGTTCTCATGTCTCAAGAGAATGCTCGCTGGAAATAAATTTTGCTCGGATGCAAACGTGGAAAGTCATCTTGGTTTTGGTCAGGTTGGAGACTGGCTCCCTTACCCTTTCAATTGGTGTTTGTCAGAGGGACAAATGGGTCATAACTGATGGTGGGATGGCGACATGAATGTGCTCAGACATCTGCCGCCCTTCACGGTGTACCCCTACCTGGCTGGGGTGAAATGGATGAAGATATTATTCATCTGTTAACGGAGGACATGGGGGACTCATTCGACAGAGTGTTGGGCCTTCTATATCGGATGGGGTCGTCTACAGCATGATATATAGCTTTCCTAATAACGGATTATCGTGAGTTTCTGCACAATCAAATACTCGCTGATTCCTCGACTGAATGGACTGCCGAATGGAAGGCAGCTGCAAATATTCGTAATACAGCATTCCTCAGTAGAAAAAATACATATTGCTCCGCTCTCGACTTATAATTTGATGCTCTCCTGTCCACATCTCTTGTAGTATCTTCATTACATCTGGATTTTCATCAAATGACGATCAATACCATCAAGAAAATTTTTTTATTTGAAATTAGGTTTTTAATTTCATAGATCGCTCAGATGTTTTTTCTTTTTCTGACAATAACTGACTATGTTTATGTTTATAACTTAAAACTTTTCGAAAATATCGATACTATCATTGAAAAATAAAAAATCAAAAATGTATTTGTGAAAATGATCTTTTTAATCCACTTTTCGAGGGATTCGAAGATAGTTAATGTTCCTAGTATCTGGAAATATTTGCAAAAGCAAATATTCATAAAGATATCAGAATGTCAAACCAAATAAATTTCATTAAAACTTTCCTGATTGATCTCAGTAATAGAACGCATTGTGTTAATCTACACGGTTTAACGTTTAATTATATTCAAATATCACACAAAGGATCAATTTCATCTCCGTTACTCTTTAATCATCAGAAATTCTTGAGCGCGTCAGATTAAGGTAGGGTGAGTTAATTACTTGCTAAAAAGTGTATATTCCAGTAATCTGACAATTTGAGAGTGACGTAAAGAAAGGGGAGGGCAGCAAAGTTCTTAGAAAATAACGTCCTTTCGACATTCTCGAGCGTAGGTATTTTTTTTATTTTGAAGGAAATAATTCAAGGATAACAAAAAATATATAATCTGATATATAATCTGACGATTTCCGCAATCCGAAATAACAAAAATTCGTCGATAAAGTTTAATGAGAGCAGCTGTGTGATACCTATATTTCCCTCTCCGAGTTTCTAATCCTCTTTCACTTTTTCTCTATCTATTACTCTCTCTCTCTCTCTCTCCGTCCTCACTCTGAATTCTGTTGCCATGACGACATCACAGCTGATCACAGATCGTTCGTGATGAAGATGAAGATAGTGATCAATTAATCAATTGATTATATAAAATTATATTTTTTTGAGCATTTTTCAAAAATTATTTTCTTATAAATACAAGTATTCTACTTAAAAACATACGCTTATTCATTTGCATGCTATTTCCTGAGCTTTTCAATAATTAAGTTCAATGATTGAAAAAAATTAAGAAAAAATTATCAGATTAGGCGAATCCCTCTAGATAATCGTCAGACTATGAGACAGCACGTCTAGAACATAAAGATAAACGATATATATCCTAATCTGACGCGCTTGAGTATTTCAAAATGGCGAATTTTTTTGCACATTATAATAATGGCCGCGAGTTTGCGTCAGATCGAAATCGTTAGATTATTGAATGAGAGCTTTTTTTGTTGCACTTAAGACCCCCTTAGAAAATCTGACGCGCTCGATTAATTTTTTTTTCTTTTCACTTTTAACCCTTACGTACAGCCACCCGCATCATGCAAACGATCAGATTAACATACGAATATTATTGAAAATACGTAGGATATTGATGCTATCAATATCTGACGCGCTCGAGTATGTCAATGCAACAGTATTTTTTTACATATTTAAAAATCTATAGCCGCTTTTCCTACCGATGAAAAGTTATATATTATATAACATTTTTTGTCTTCTTATCATCTAAGCTTTGCAACCTGATATGTCTCCTATGACGCTCGAGTAAATCCCCATTTTGCATCGTGGGCTCCCCTATTACTACACATGTAATGAAAGTCACAGAAATCGGAATGAATATTCTATCCCACAGCATAAATCCTAACAGTTTGAGTAATTCTTCTCTTATCAGGTCGTTACTTTCTATAAGTACTTGATCGCCACCTGGAAAAAATAAATGTATTGCAAAAATGGATTCTGAGAGTTATTCCCAAAAAACTTACCTTTTCCAGTAACGAACTCTTTCTTTTGAGTGAAACACTAGATGTAAGACAATTATACATAACTGTCCAAATTTCCAAATGTGAAAAAATAATTGGACAATGATGTACAAGATTCTAGATCAAAAATTTTATGATCATTTTTCTTCAGAACTTAAACTGATCAACAACATCTCTGATATTATTTTTTTTTTCTTTACCTTGTATGCGCTGGTCCGGCCCTTTCCCCCGAAGCCCTGATACATTCGAGAGGATGTAGCAGCATTATCAACCAACCACCACTCCCCAACCCCGTGGGATAAGTGATCATTGGGTCCGAGAATCATGTACCCTGAACAAGCGCAGTGAGCCAAGACTGACAGCCTTATGCATCTGTCGGGCTGAGATTTCTGTCTTAGTGCGGCAAAACGGTATGATTTTAAGATTCGAGAGTAGAGAGAGCATCATTCCTCTAAGGACTCCAATAATCAGAACAACCATCTTGACAGAGTGGTCTGGACAGAGTCTGCGGAATTCGAAGAGAAAATCTCGATTTTTTTATCCGTTCATTCTCCTCTTTTCGGACGATAGTCGTCTCGCCAAGAGCTGAAAACTCCACGACAAATATCGTCTTGCTCTGGTGGTCGAAAAGGACTACATCAGGCTTATTAGCATGTATGACCCTGAGGGTGGAGAACGAATAGTTCCAATAAATTCGGCACTTCTCTTTCACCACAAAGGATTCAATACTCCCCGAAGCGTAGGTCAACACCGGTGTCTCGTCAATATCGTGAGAGTGACGTAGATGGTGACATAGCACTCTTAGGGCCGCGTTATGTCGATGGATATAAGCCAAGACTGCATATGCTGGACATGCTGATAGCAAGTGTATAAGGGTCTCGGGCGCCTCGCGGCAGGCCCTGCACCTTGTGTCAGAAACCTCTATACCCATCACGCGACTGCGGTAGACTAAGGTGATGAAGACACCATCTTGGCAAAGCATGATGAACCCCTCAGTTTCCGACTCCAGCCCACTCGACCTGAGGAAAGCGAAAGTCAGGCGCTTTGATACGCCAAGGTCTCCAATGTTGTTGAACATTGAAACGGTTTTCTTCATCATCTTTCAAATATAGATTTAAAAAAATACCTGAATAAACAATGATTTCGAAATTAGGTAACCAAAAAAAGTTCTTCAGAACATTTTCCGTTTCAATTAATTTTTTACCAGTTTATTGAAAAGCATTCCAGAGTTAATTGTATTTGTATGTATTTACCGATGTCTGCTTGGTTGAGTGGAAGAATAGCTATGTATACTAAACTCCGTCAAATGAAATAAAGACCAGTTATTATTACTATCGTTATTATTATATTATTTTACACATCCACTCCTCATCACAAAATTACAATAAGTTCATAATATTTGACAATATGTTTTGAAAGATTTTTTTTTTTCAGGTAGTATATTGGATATCACCACCAACGAATGGATGGGAAACACCGTCGCCACACCAATACCACATCCAAACGGATGAGGGACCAGAACGATACTTTCGATACCAAACCGACAGCGGTCAATACCGTAAAGAAAAACGACTTGAAGATGGTACCGTTGTGGGAACGTACGCTTGGATTGATGCCGACGGAATCATGCATCAAAGGGATTATATCGCCGACAGTGCAGGCTACCGAATACTCAAATCCAAGAAAGTCTATGTTGGGAGGCACACAGACGTAGGGGAAGCGATAAAAGTCGCAAAAAAGTACCCTGCCTCAGCTGGCACGTTGGTACAGTCGAACAAACGGCCAGTCATCACAGTTCCTTACTCGGCAGGAGTGCCTCCATCTACTTATGCACCCAGTCTGCCTTCCTCCCATTATGTTTCTAGTTCTACTCCTGCATCTGTAGTCACTACCACTTCTACATCCCATGTGAATATATCGCCCCATTCCATTCTCTCAACAACATCACATGGAGTTGTTTCCTCAACCGAGACGCCTGTAGTGGAAATAACCCCTAGTCAGTACCTGCCACCATCATCCACTCCCGCACCAAGTCTTGAACCACCTGTTAATTTCACTTTCGTTTCGGGTAATTATCTTCCCTCTTCCCCAAATCCTTTTTCTGTGGCAACGGAATATATTTCAACATCAAATCCTACAGGGCAATACGTACCCCCTGTGGTAACTTCTACAGAACACCCCTATTATCCTCCTGTGGTGCCCATAACACCTCCTCAACAGTATATTCCAACTTCGTATAATAATTTGCCTCAACCTTTAGGAGAAGTCGATAATTCCTTGGACTACAATCCAAATGTCCGTCAGGTGAATAATGATTATAGATTCCAAAATGGACCGACCTATCCGATAGACAGGAACGGAAAACCTTACAGCGGACAGAATTTGGGAAATGGGTATGATCCCCAGTACCCCACTTACGACGGGGTTTCGGTTACTAATGACGGATTCAGGTATTATATACCAAGGGCATATCACGAGGAACAAACTCTACCTGGAGAAAAACGATCTGGAAGTTTTGGCTACATCGACCCATTCGGAATTCGTAGGGTTATTTATTATAACACAGCACCTGGGTCAGGCTTCCAGCATAGAAAAAATAACAGATACGTTGGATTCCAAGCCACGCCATATGACCCACGACCTTATTGATGTTAAAGAAAGTGGAAACCATGGTGTATCCAGGATTTTTTATCTTGCCAGTTGAAATGATTTAATCACTGGAGAATTTTGAAGGATTTTTTGTGATAAATTGAATTTAATTATTGTAGTTATGATATTTGCGCAACCAGATAACATAATCATCCAGGGGAGATACTTATCAGTGATGATTATTCAATAACAGTTCAGAAGAATGACAAAACATTCGAATAATATTGAATGTGATTCCAGAGATGATAATTTGCCCAAACCTTTGGCCAGTTTTCAACCACTGGAAACACAAGTTGCATAATGAAATAATGTCCCATTTTCGCAAATAATTTCCATTGGATGAAAGGATATGAATATTGTACTGCATTTCTATTGAAAGTTATTCATAATTTCGATATGCAATTATAGTTGAGTTATCATTCTTAGGCTCATCTTCGAAGATGGACCTACTTCAAGTTGCACAGGAAATTTCTCATAGTATTTTTCATAGAAGAAATGAAATTAATCTATCTATCCTTGGGCTAAATTTAATCTATATTGTTTCATTTTAGTAGGTCATATATTTTTTCGAAGAATCGAAGAAGTATTAAACACATTGTATGAGGCTCTGTAACAGTTTCCTCTGTAAGAATCCCCTAGTGAGGACACCAATTTTAGATGGTGAATAAAATTTTAATATTTTTTACTTGTAATTGAAAATATTTGTTGCGCAAATCAGTGCATATCTTTATATAGACAACTCCATATTTCGGTTTCACGTAGCATCATTACCCGAACGAACGAACGGATAGTAATAATAGTGAGAAAGCTTTAATGACGACCTCAGTGTAAACACTGCCATAATTTCTGTTCCACTGAGGATACTCAATATATTCTATTCAATCTCTACTTTAATAACTAATTTCATCTGTTATTTTCATTCTTATTCTGATTCCATTACATTCCTATTGTTTTCGTTTATTTTTTCAACAAACCTGCCTAGGTGATGAAATATCAAGGTGGGGATGATAATAAAAATAATAATAATTTCAACTCTAGGTTTGAATGGAAGTTATAAATTAAAAAAGAATAATGAATGAAAATTGTACGAATAAACAATATTGATCTGAATATATTTTATGAAAAAATAATAATTGAAAGATTTACAAAAATCCTGCTTTCTTTCATGTGATGTGTAAACTTCTTTATTCGTATGTATCTGTGAATTGATTCAGGATAAAGAAAATTTTGAATATTTTATTCTAGTACTAAGGATCAATTGTACCATGACATTAGGAATGTATGAGACCTTGAAGCAATTTTTAATGTGGTTGAGCCACCAAAAACAAGCAAATATTATCAAAATAATCTTTTGTGGCAAATTTCATGAATTATTTTCAGGAGAGTCATTATGACTAGTCAGTTTATTTTTTCATGCAAATTATATGTCTATTCATGGGTTCCTGAATAACATTTCAGTTCCTTCAAGGGTCCACAATCTTTATTTGATGTAATGTTAGATAAATCATTTCAACCTATAGTTTACATAGTTAGCAAGAATGTGATGTAACTCAAACTAATTTATTTTAAAATAGTTGTTAGTCATTAATTTATTGTAGTGCTACATACAAGTGCCATTCATTTGTTATTCGGTCCCGTGAATCACGGTTTGTTCTCCGAGAAATAAAAACCCTAGTTCCAGGACCTTTCACGCATTTGCTGGTGTTTTAATGTATGAGCAGAGTAATAGAAAATATGTGATTTTTGGTTACTTCAAACTGGTTGTTCTCATGTATCAAAATGGTTCACTAATGTGGTTCAATTCGAGCAAGTAATTTATGAGGGAAATACATATTTTTCTATAATGTATGTGTGTAATTTGTGTTTTTAAAATATTTTTCAAAAAATCGATAAAAAATAAAAAATTAAAAACAGTATACCACTCAATTGCATTTATTCATTTTCCTATATCAAAAATAACGACTTTATTAAACTAATGAAAAGCACTGTATTTCTACTAAATACTGAAAGTGTGATGTATGGAAGCAAGGTACACAGTTTAACATTATTTAATTATCATGAAATCTTGTACTTCTTTGATCATAGGAATCCTAAACTTGAGGAAAGAAATTCGACCATCGTGTTGACAAAAAGGGTTTTCCTAAACCTTTAATGCACTGTTTGGAACCTTTGGTGTAGTAATGAATATTACTTGAGTTTTTCCCAACACCAAGCCGTTATTTTAACCTCTCGACACGTGTTTCGATCTCGAAATAGTTTAGTTAAATCTATCTCTTGAAGATGATCACTTGGTGATCTAAACGCGTGTTGAGGTCTTAAAATACCGATTTGGTGTTGGGAAAAAAACTCCAGTAATATTGGAGTTTTGTTTTGTCAACTTAACTTGTTTTGGAGGGTCAAGCTCCAGCAACAAGCAACATGTATAGTACCCACTAGGTTTGATAACTCGATTTTCATTAATATACTAATATAATAAACACTTGAAGAGATGCAAGATTTTCGTTTTGTAAAGGAAAGTTGTGAAAAATTATAAATTTTGTGGACATTCTATTGAAACATATGAACAGGCAATCAAGGTTGCCTCAATCAGTTCAGTTCACTTTCGATAAAACCTTCATCGAGCTCCCTAACAGAATCAATGAGAAAAGATCTTTATCTAGCGGATAATCATATTATTTCGTGTTTAACTGATAAATATAATGATACCTTCATATAAAGGATTACGAGTATACTTTCAATGATAGCAGAGATAAATTAAACGTTTACTCAGCCGATCCCTGATAAAAGCTAAAAAACTTCTGTGGTTTTGTAATAAGAGCATACATTTGCTCATTAACCGTTTTCAATACATAATTTCCCACTTATCTAATAAGTATATAGTAAGCAGTTGCAATAAAATTTGTATCACATAGTTCTGGATGGTTTGAGTTGAATGATTCTTCGGCAAACCTAATATTTACAAGATAATACCTGAGAAAATTCCTCAACATTTCACTGAAACAGCTATCTGGAACTTCAATACTCTGAAGAGAATTACCACGAAATTTTCAAATAAAAAGTTTATCTGGAGAAATTAATCAAAATTCGTATGGTGTTTTCAAACTTGAGCAATTCCGCATACATCCACCACTATTACAGTTTCAAGTCGTAAATCCACTGTTGTATTTCGAAATTTTTTGTCTCAGAAGGTGAGTCATATTTGATATCATTCAAAATCTTCACAACCATTGGTGATATTTTCCTGAAATTAATAAACCAATACTGATTGATATATGTGACGTGAAGATTCCTATAAAACTGACAGAAAAATTAGCAATAGTTTTTTATTTCAAACCATGGCATTTTTTTGATGTATGAAAAAGCTGAAAAAATATCTGTGAAAAAATATAACCAAAACTGAAAATGATGGCACCAGGAAAGTACATTTCAAACTGTAGGAATTAAGCATATCATCTTTTTTAAAGATGACGTGCAATCAAACCAAATGAACATATTTTTTTTTAATTGGAAGGAGAGATATTTTTAGAAAAGATTGGTTTTTGGTTAGGTTTTTGCTTTATAATTATCCATATTCAAACAAAAAATATGGAAAACTTCCGAAGAAAAGAAGAAAAGGAGCTACATTATTTAGCACGAAAAAACCTTGAAAAAACATAGCACTCAGATCTTTTACAACAATTCCTCTTCAAACAATTCCTACAATTGAAAGGAAAGCCAGTTTTGGGTTGTTCTTTGGGAAAAATCCACTATGGACACCTAAGTCTAAGTAAATATTGACACCTCCCTTAACAAAAATACAATTTGTCAGATTGACAGAAAACAAGAAAACAGAAAACAAAATTATTCTTTGAGGGCAATTGTATCTAATGTTGCATCCGTGGTTAAGCCCAGCACCACTGATGAGACCTGTGGCGTCAAAACAGCACTGTCTAATGTAGATTTACTAATGCTTTGCTGCATATAAAGGTAGAAAGTAATTTTCTTATTCATGACGATGTTGAAGTTTGGCTTTGCAACATACCGATGTGTGAGTTTTCATTTACGAGCAAGGTTTGAGTTTTCTGTCGATCCCATTAGTGATGTCTTCATAAGGATAAATATCCACACCACTCAGGGTTGTTCTTTAAGAATAATTGAGTCCAAGAATGTATCGTGGTTCTACCTCAGACCACTGATGGGATTCAAGGTAGATACGATATATAGGATATTTCATTAAGCGCTTTCTATCTGTAGATTAAAAAAACAAAGTGTGTGTGAGATATCCTCGTAATTTTTTATTCGTTTGAGAGACTTATTGATGCCATTATGTGTGGAATTACACAGCGTTCGATTGTCCTTCACAACTTCTCTGGATGGAGCGCATCCGAAACGTTCAACCTTAAAGAAATATGGACCGATGACACCGCCAGCCCAAATTTCAGACCAGTGACTTTTTCGGAATACAATGGACGCTCTTGGAACTCATTCATCCAGAAATGGGCCTCATCGTTGAAGATGACTTCTCAATGAAAATTAGGGTCAGTTGGCAACTGCTCCTGCTGAACACAGGCCGCTGCTATCTATGGTCGTTTAACTTCAGTTTCTGGGTTGATTAAATTTTGTACGGGTGCAGGCCCAAGTCACGATGCAAATTTCGCCAAGTTATGTGTTATGTCGGTATCGGATCACATGTAGAAACATTACCAAAGCCAAAAACAGGAATGCTACCGACAAAAAGCTCTGACATGTCAGTAACAAAGGCGCACACCGCATCGCCAATGTTGCCAACATAACAATTCTTCCTCCTTTTTAAGAATATTGGTTCATAGTACAGAATAATCAAACAGTAATGCATATATGTACTCATAGTAACTGCAAATAGAGACAATGGCAGTATTATACTTTACAATGATAACAACTTCAGATAATAATACTAAAATTGGAAGATTGCTATAACAATTTTTTTTTAATTCATAAAATGAATGATTACAATTTTGTTTAGCATATACACTCAAGGTGGGGAATTTACTGAGACTAAATAGATTTGACTAAACTCCATTTAAATAGTAAAATCATTGGTACTTTGAAGATGGAAACCAAACTGGAGGTCTCCGTACCGAAGAAGGTCTCAGTCCTTCTCTATTTAGCTCTTTGTACAATTGACTGTTGTGGAAAACTTAATCCTGAATGAGGAAGTAGAGCAAGGAATTCATGAACGCTTTCTGAATTAAATTATCCAAAAGAACAATTCGTTGCCCACTCAATTGGCGGAGCTTTTTGAATTCACTGAGACTTCCAGAGAGCCTTGAACTGGCTCAAGGTACCATTGACTTGCCAGAGAATGGCTGGCATGGAAGTTGACTTTTATGTAACTGGTTCAGGTGCACTTTTCTAAAATATTCATTTTCTAACTTCACAAGGTATACGACCGAACTGATTTGTTTCATCACCCGAGTTCTAATCCGTTTCAATATACCTGTCTTATGATTTTTGACGTTGATCTCAAAATTTCTCACTGACAAACTTCCAGTCTGAATTTCGTTAAAGTCATTCCCTGATAACACCTTATCAGCTGGAGACAACATACTGAAGTGGTTTCGAGCTTCAAAACTCAAGATCATGCCTGAAGGGGAATTCTTCGTTACTGATGAGGGAGTAGACCTGTAAGGTAATAAGCAATCATATAACTTCCCCGGTAAATCAGTCGCTGAACTGTTGGCTACCAACGATCTCAATAGAAGTATAGTTGGTACATTACATTCTGCTCCCCTATTGGAAGCAGGATGGTACGGTGGACTTAGCACGTCTTACGTTTTTCAAAAAATGACTCCAATAGATGGGGGCCCATTATCGAACACCACACATTGAGGAAGAACAAACTTAGAAAAACATACTTGCGGTTGCTGAAATGTGTCCAGGAAATCCAAATGCAGTCGTCTCAATGGTCCGTGGCTACTTGGCATGGGAAAATAGATACGTGGAATCGAATCGTTTTGAGTGATTTGACACATTACACACGTCGTCACTTTTTGTTTTATGTCTCGGTCCATACCAGACCACTAGATATATGATCTAACAAGTAATTTCACCCTAACTATGCCAATATGTACCCGTACATTTTGGGACCAATAAGCGCCACAAGAGATTTCACTTTGTCTGACTCAACAGTTTCGTTTAAGTAAAAAACGCCACAAGTCTGTCGAGGTAGTTTTGAAACGGTTCAAGAGACGGCTCATAAAGGTCGACGTGTCCCAAAATTGCAATTCGACGAGAAGGTCGTAATTCATCGTTTGCTTGTCCTTCTACCTCAGAGCTTTTTTCTGAAGAATCCATTTGTGGCAGTTTAACATGTTGATCAAAATCAACGGACGACACAGTTCCAACCTCCACACGCCAGAATAAACCAAAAACAGTTCCAATTTGCTAGTCGCCAATGTTATGTTGGTATAGGATTCCAATAAGGTTTTGATATAAATTCAAAAATGTATTGAGCTATACATCGAATTGTTATTAAGAATGGGACTAAGTGAATACGGAACTTGAGAATATCAATTTCTGTTCAAAGTTAAGTGTATTGAATTAGCAATATTTTTCTGATTTCCGCCCAAATACCAACTATCTTAAGTACATCAGAATATATTTGTGACTTGCTTGTAACATTCGTATTGGTGCTGGTGCCATCTATCGCTAATGTTCGCAACCTGAAGTACCGATTCATACTGTGAGAAAGTGGTACCATCGTGTTGATATACCGAAATACTATACTTACCTTACAGGTGGCTCTGTCAGTACTTTAGGCATCTATAACATTGGGCAGATAACCGATTAAGGTTATGTCGATGGTGTTATCTTCGTTCCTCATTTGGATTTCACATTTATTATATGAGCCTAGAAACGAACAATATTGAGTACCATTATTTTTGGTTACCTTATC